TGGCGCTGTAGCTCAAGCGGTAGAGCGCTAGCCTTGAGCTGAAGAGCTGAGGGACAGCGCCCAGGCCCAGAGTTCAGGCCCCATGAACGACAAAAAAGAAAAACAAACTGGAGCTTAGAGGAGGTGCGTGTGGCTCTGGCTTGGGGTGAGCTGGGAAGGCTGCTGCGGGTGGACGGCCTGCGTGGGGGTCGGGGCCGCAGACGGAGGAGCAGGGAGGCTGTGGCTGAGTCACCGGAGCCCTGCGGCCCGTGGGCGGTCACCCGCGGGAACCGGCCCGGCCCTGCGGGCGCCGGCCTGTGGGCACAACTGTTCCCTTGCAGGCTGCAGACGGAGCGTGGGAGCAGCATGGCCGCGGGAGGGGCACCGGCAGCCCCGCCGCCATCAGGCAGCTTTGGGGCCGGGAAACTGAGATGCAGAGAAAGGCCAGCCCTGCAGGCGCACACACACGCCCATGCACACCACACACAGACACCCCACCTGGGCCTGGGTCTCCATCTGACCATGCCCCTCCCCCACCCCCTGCACCTTCAGAACAAAACCTGGGGGCCAGGGCCCCGCCCGCCATCCTCGCTGTGAGGAGGAGGCTGGGATCTGAGGACCTCCAGGGTCCAAGCCAGCCTGAGCAGCAAAGTCTGAGATACGGATCTCCAATGAACCCCCAGAAAGTTTGATGCGGTGCTGTGGCTCAAGGGGTAGAGCACCAGCCTTGAATGGAAATACCAAATCCCAGAGAGGGGGCTGGAGCTTTAGCCCCAGTATTGGCACAAAAGAACCTAACCAAAACCCCACGCACGTCACCCCAGCCCGCAAGACCCCGTTCAGCTCTGGCACCCTCTTCCTGCTCCCATTTCTGTACTGGGCCCGCCCGCCTGGCTTCCCAGAGGTAGGGCCAGCTACCCTGACCTCAGGGCTTTGCACCTGCAGCACCAGTGCAATCTCTGAACAGCAGCACACCGGTGTGGCCCTGCAGTAGAGGGGCAACGAGGTCATCCAAGGCCCCAGGTCCAGAAGACACGGCAAGCTGGGTTCAAACCCAAACCCATCTGGGCACCCCCACAGGGACCCCACAGGGACCCCACAGGCTCCCACCCATGGTGCCGGGTTTAAGGTCAACTGCCACCAGTGCTCCGTGGAGCCCGCCCCCACTGCCCCTCCTGACCTCACAGCCACTGGTTGGGGGCCAGAGACCCCCCAGGACCCCACACCCCCTCCTCCCAAGGCAGCAGCAGCCGGTGCCCCATTTCCTGCCCTTCGCTGGTGTACGAGCTGAAGCCTCAAGGATACGGGAGCCAAAAATAACAGGTGACCTACTCCCGAACACACGGCCTGCGCCGCCCGGCTGGGGGTAATTAACTAGCGAGCCAGCAAATGAGGGTAATTAGGGCTGCGGGAGCTGGAGCCAGGACCTAGGTCTGCCCCCCCCATCCCCTCTCCCTGTCCGGGGCCCTCAGTCTGTGGGCCCTGACCCCTTGTCACTGTGGGTGGCTGGCTCTTCCTGCGGTGTTGCTCCCTGGCAGGGCTGACCTGGGCAGGGCTCGGGCGGCCTGCAAGTCCACCCTGAGTCCCAAGGCCAGAGGACTACACACCGACACCCCAACTCCCAGTCTCTGGGGTAAGCTGGAAGGGGAAGGGGGTCAGGGAGGAAGAGGAAGGCACTGGAGGTGGGATTTGTCTAGTTTTTGTCCCTGTGCTGGTCCTGAGACTTGAACTCAGGGGCTGGGTGCTGTCCCCAAGCTGGACACCTCCAGCTTTTTGGAGGTTCATTGGAGATATGAGTTTCACGGACTTTTTTTTTTTCTAGCTTTGAACTGCAATCCTCAGATCTCAGCCTCCTGGGTAGCTAGGATTCGAGGTATGACCCACCAAGTCCTAGTTTAGAGGTGGGGTTTTGAGGGCTGCATAGGAAGGCTGGCCTGACTATGGCTAGGTGAAGGAGAAGATTGGATGTGAGATCTTCCGCCTCTGCCTCCAAGTGCTGAGGGTCCAGGCTTGTGCCACCACCCTGGCCACCGACGACACGTGTACAATGCACGCATTCACAAGACACCTAGAGACATAGTCTGTTTCATGTAGGAACCAGTGGCTACTTACCATAAACCTGAGAAGTGGTATTGTTTGCACACACAGGTTATGAATAAGTAAACTGAGGCACGGTGAGCGAAAGCAAGTTCTCCCAGGGTGCACTGCTCAGGGAGACCTAAGGGTCCAGCCAAGACCGAGCTGCAGCTGGGCACCGAGTTCCCTCGGGAAGCACGGGTGGCGGTTGGCCTGCAGGCCCAGTGTGTTCCAGGGCAGGCCGGGTTGGAGCAGAATCCTAACCAGGTCAGGCTGTGAACACACCAGCTGTTTGCGCTGGGGCATGCCCTGTCGGGTCCGGTGTGCTCCAGGCTGACCGGCCCCGGCCCCTCCCTGCGGGACTCAGAGCACCCACTGGTGCCCTCCCTGGCCTCTTCCTCCTCAGAGGCCCTCTGCCAGGCCCGTTGCCCGGCCGCCCCGGGGATCGCCGCATGGCCCCTTTCCACAGCCAGCTGCTGCTTGGCACACTCCAGTGCCTTCCGGAAGCCCGGCCACGCTGCGTTTGAAATTTCTTTTTTTTTTGTTGGGAATCGGGAAGTCTGCACAGAGCAGACGGTGTTTCCAACGCCTTGCAAGGCTTCGGGCCCAACTCAGACAGACCCTCTGCTGTGCACATGACTCACACAGTCAGGGAAACTGAGGCACGGGCTCTGTGTCTCCAGCTGGGATGAAAGGTCACCCTGTGGGGGGGGGTGAGGCCGGGGTGTGCCAGATGGGGCAGCCACACCTGGTCCTGACCCTCAGGGGAGCCGGCGGGGGGACAGCGAAGACAGCACCGCACCGGGGATGGGAACCCCGGCACACAGCCTCTGGGCCCCCTGCGTGCTGAGGTGGGGCAGCGCCCGGCTGTGTCCGGCCAGGGCCCGGACCCCCCTCCCCCCGGCCGCAGGCAGCCGGGCAGGGCTGACCCTGGCCGCCACAGGAAGCGTGGCGTCCAGCTCTGCGTCCATCCGCTTCCTGCCTCCGGTCTCTGGTTCCTCCTCGGGGTCCCCCCTCCCCGCGCCCC